CACGCAAACACTATAGAACAATACATCCTTGCTTGGTGGTGTTTTAAAAGTCTATACAAAAAAACCTTCTGGGGAGCCTTAAGTGGATTTTTTTTTTTTTTACACCATAAAGTGATTATTAAGTTTTCTTTTTACTCTTTGCCTAGCTTTTTATTATCTCTTGGACTACATTTGCCAATAACACGTATAAAAGACTGGTATAACAATAAGCAGAACACAAAACATTATGGTATTTCTCCTAGTGGGATGCAAACTAATGAGATGTATTAAAATAAAAATGGTATACCTATGCATAATTTTCTAGACGTTTCTTGGTTTATGTTCCCCAACCTCCCCCGTAATTTAAAGCATTACATAAAAAGAAAAAAAGAGAAAAAAAGAGACATGTGCGTAAACAAATCATAGGATATCCATGCAAAAATCCTTTTTTTTCCTTTAAGACTTATGCCAGTTGCCTACTAGTGATATTGTGTTAGCAATTGTCATTCTTATCAGTAAACAGATACTTTTATTTCACATGTTGGAGCTGTGTGAAATGTACAAATTCTTGTATCTGCATTGTACAATGTCATGGTGGCATGGGAACTACCTTGCTGCAAATATTTGAACAAAACCTAAAGTTCTTTATTTTTGGTAAAATGTTATGCTTTATGTGTATTCAACAGAAATATGTGTTTTTGTAAAGGTGAAGTTTGTATTTTTATCTAAAAATTAACAGTTTTATATACCTGAGAAAGCCTGCTATGTTTTCTTGAACCAAAAAAAAAAAAAAGAAAAAAGAAAAAAAAAGCATTTTGTGGTCATATTTTTGTAGTAGAATAGCCCAAATAACATCAAAATCTATTTTAACTATAGCGGGGCAGATAAAATACTCTGGCACCAGCTCCTGTGTTTTCAAAGTGCCAAAGGATTAAATGTTCAGTTCCCCACGGATTGCAGTGGGAGCCACATGGCTAAATCCTTCTGTAGTGCTTTGGAAATTTAGGGCTGTGCCAGATATGACATGGCTACTCACTTGGCCAAAATCTCTGCCCCACCCCAGTAGTTTGGATTATGTACCCTTTGTTTTAGTTGGATTATCACATTGGATATGTACAGTGAACTACTGGATTCTTTATTTGTGAAACATCTACAAAGAGATGAAAGAGTTTTCTCAGTTTGGAACGACAAAAAAGTTTGTCTTGAAGACAGTGTTTCCACTCAAACAAAAAATATCTTCAAATGTGAATGAACTGCAGAACCTTAAAACAACAAAAGAGAGATTTTTAACCTTTCCCTTTCTTTAAATATAGTTCAGACATTCCCCTCCTGTTCCTGCAGCTATGTCCAATTTCAACCAAACAAAGCAATGTTAGCTAACAGGCATTATTGGCTTCAGATGCTAATGCAGAGATAGAGTTAGTCACCGTTCTATTTTGTGATCATTTTCCCAGTGTATTTGTTGAGCACCAAAACTGGAAATACATTTAACTAAGATTGTCTGTGCTTGTTTTCCACTAAGTGTACTGTTCACAATGTTATGCACATGAATGTATGTGTCTGCGTTTAAAAAAGTGTATAAAATGTAATTTATATATTTATGTTTCAGTGGGATGCCAATAATGTTGCTCCGTTCCTTTTTTGTCTAAAAGATATCTAATGAAAAAAAACATATATCCATTAAAATCATGTAGTTGAAAAGCATTATGTGACCCACTCAGACACTGTGCAGGTATGAAAGGATGTCAAAGTCACTTAAGTGGAATAATTGGCAAAACAACTTTCGAGAGTCCTATGGTTGCACTGGCACAAGAAGGTTGCATTCAGATCTGTGGGCCAGCTTCCCCGGAGTGACTCCATTGAGTATAATGGAGCTCTGCTGATTTACATCACGAGTGAGTCTGGCCCTATATTGAAGTCTTGAAAAAAAAGCAAACAGAGGCATGCATTTTATTGGTGCCAGCAAATAAATGTGTTACGCCAAATTCAGAAAACCAGGAGAGAATGAAGACCGAGTGGAGTCTTTTCCAGTAGTTGTTTGTTTGAGACTTGTAGTCTCGAGTTGATGTTATTACCGGGAATGAAACGCACGTGAGTCTTTGTTCTCAAGCACCGTCTTTATACGGCATGCAGCAGAAAACACAAAAATCTCAGGGCTATATTCTCAGCTAGTATAAATTGGCAAATGTTTTTGACTTCGGCCGCCCCTAAGCTAATTTACATCAGATGAGGATCCAGTCCACGGTTTTTAAAATACAAGGAGTAGTGTCATGACATATGCGTCATTTTCTGTAGTCCAGCTGAGATATTACCCGCCAGCCTTTTGAGCGGTACAGGCTATGCTATTAGTCCTTCTTCAAGGTGGCAGATACAACCAGAAGGAACAGTAACATTAAAGGTGGTGACGCAGGAGACATTAATTCAAAGTTAAGTTGGACATTTCAAGGGCCATATCCTCAGCTGGTGTAAATCACCATCGCTCCGTTGCCTGCAATGGAGCTGTACCAGCTTACACCACTTGAGGGGCTGGTCCCTCATTCTTGCTCATCCCTTTCACTACTCGGTCCTGCAGGGATCTCAGATTGTCGTGTACTGTTAATGTAATCCTGTGTTCTCTAATACTTAAGCACAATAAGTGAATATAAGAATGAGTGTCAGACTTAACTTTGAATGTCCAAGCTCTGAAATGGTTTGTTTCACCATTGTGGCTGTAAATTAAACAGTTCTCTGTGCATTTGTGAATGCCGTGTCATATCTTCTTCTGCTGTCTACTGGAGGTGGACTCCATCTGGACTTGTAAAGTGCAAGATTTGGAGTGTTACAGGGAAGGGTGTGAGCAATTGGAGCCACAAGATACCTGATTGACATCTCTGTTATTTGTGGGGTGGGGGGCTAGTAGGGGACTTAATGAAGGAGTTGAAGATGGTAGTTGTAAGTCACGTTGCCATGCAATCCTTTAACACCTTGTCGTTTTTGTCCTTGCACATGTTAGGTAGAGATTTGGGGGTAAAATGTTTTTCTGTTTTACATTCTGCAGTCGCTTCTTCTGTCCAGAGATTCAGGAGTTGTTGGTCTGATTTCATCCTTTTTGTGGTCTTTTCTGGTCAGAAAGTATATGTGTAGTGGACTGCCTGAAAAGAATCTCAGTGTTATAATATGGTGCGTGATCGCTGATTCTTTAGTCAATTCATTACATTTAATTCTGTGCTTCATCTTTCCAGAGCTGCCCTTCAATTGCTTTTGTTGAGTGAAATCAAGGATTACATGCCAGTTTGCTTTCCTTTTCTCCTGTCCTCCGTCCTGCTTGGCATCTGCTTTATTAGACAGTGCACGGTGACTACAGGCAGTTGCTCCTCTCCAGCCCTGGAGGTTCCTAGGCAGCTCCAGCACTTCTGTGTCTTTGA